AGTGAAATTCAGTAAATAACATTTTGTATTATTTTAAATATATATTATTTCTTAAAAATTGCTAATAATTTTTAATTAATAATTTTTATTTCTAATTTGTAACATAATATAAATTTTAACAAAAAAAATTAAAATAATGATGAAAATAATAATATATTTTTATTGTCATTAATAATGTGTTATTACACCAATATAATAATGTCACACCGACTCGAATTTCTACATCAATGTTTATAATATGTCAGTAACAATTGGAGTATTACATTCTAAAAGAACTTATTTCACACAATCATGTAACAGTCAACGATATTTGTTTTTCTTTAATTTTCCACATAAAGAAATTCCACATCCAAAAGAATACAACAACGATAAGTATAATGACGTAAGTATATTCGTAACGCAAAAAAGGTGCAAACACATTCGGCAAACAAAACTCTCACTGTCAGATACATATAAAATGTTTACTTCATACAGTGCAATAACACATGCTTTCTACTTGGTGTCATGTGCTGTTGTCTTACAAGTTGCAGCTACATCGTTGGTGCACAGTGTTAAACATATTAGCTACATATTTGTACATATATGCAATTTATAACATTCATATTTCATTCATTTACAACATTACTGTGATAGAAAATCTTTTAGCCAGTTAATCTGCAAAACTTAATGAAAATTGCATAATAATTTCATAGAAGCGATGTATGTATCAATGTTAATTAAAAAATTTCGAAAAAGATATAAATTTAATTTTATCTAAATAGTAAGCAGATAAAATATTTTTACAAGATATATTGTACATTGCAAGTTTCTCGTTTAGATATTTATATAGCTGCAGTCATGCTGTAATATCAAAATTATCAATTAATTTATAAATTGAATATTGGATTTATTTATATATTATAACTTTTAAAACAAAAGATAAGAGAATATATATCTGACATGTAAGAGTTTTGAGTAAACAGAAGAATTCTTAAAAATTTTTTACTTTTTAAGGGAAGTGTTAATATTCAACGTGCAAATAATTATAACATTAAAATTGCATTTTCCTTTTACAATTTTTTAATAATTTCTTCCGTAATAGATGATATAATCTAATAATCACAATCATAAATGTTAAATTTAAAATTATATATAGAAAAGCATAAAAGTATCAACATGGAATAGCATTATTCTTTGTATTATTATTTTTATAAGTTCTTTGCAGAGTGCATACCCAGTAATAAACGATTTAAATACTCCGAAAAAAAAACAATTTTTTATAAAATTGCTGTACATAGTATTTTATAGTATATTTTTGTATTATTTGTAAGTTGTAAGATATTTAATATTATCTCATCCATTAATTAAAAATATCTTCAATGAATTTTGTGTATTGATATTTACACAGATTATTTTTTGGATTAGTGTTAATACTGTTAGATTAGTAAATAAGATACGGGAATCTCACCTGAAGGGCTACCTGGCCTGAGACCGGCACCATTTGTCTGTATTGTTTGCACTGGACTTGGTGGACGCTGCGATATTGGCGGTTCCAATATGTCACGATATTTGGAGACCATCAACACAGAGATGAAGTAAACTATAGCAAGGGACAGAAACTGTGCCTGCTTGGTTTCTTCCTGAAATTAACGTGTATATGACTTAGTTTTCTTATCTTATACATGCATCATTTTATTTTATCGTTGTATATGAACATCATTTTACTTTATCGTTGTATATGAAATATCGGATACTTACAACATCTCTGTATATCACAGCCCTCAAACGATTTACGTCCATATCTTGCAACAATTTCTCGGGATCCTTCACAGGACTTAACTGATGTGTGAGATTGTCCACGATGTTCTATAAATAAAGAATATTTTGATGCAATGTAATATGTACTAGTAACTACACTTTTTTTAATAAATAAAAATTAAAGGGAAAAATATAACGTGTTTATCATACCTATTAGGGTGGGAAAAAGTTCGTGGTAGTTTTTTAATACCATCTAACGAGAAAAACGCCACGAACTTTTTCCTACACCTAATATTAATAATGCTATAATCATTAAAATGAGTTTGATCGGATAAAACATACCTTAGGCGATGTCTGAGCCCCGCGTATAAGCGATTGTATATGTTGTGATTTATTACTAGAACCAATCTGCCGACCTAACATGCTGTACGATCTGCCACGTTCTTTACACTCTAAGCAGTTTCTAACGGCACATGTACAGACCTATAGAAGTTTATTAGGTAAATACAACAAAAGATGTTGTGTGAATGTACATATTAAATTTCTAACTGGAGCATATGTTAGAAACTAAAACATGTTAGAATTGAAAATGAAAAACAAAGCTAAGAATATTTGAATTAATTGTACTTTTTAGAGACTACAATTATAAATATATTACATTTAATTAATTGTGAATTTACTCGTCAATCAAATACTTATAGATAAAACATTCAATTTTCTTTAAATTATAAGTCTTTAGAAAGTTATAATCATCATTTGTTAAAAATTTTATGTTATAATTTATATCAAAAGAACGAATTTAAATTTAAATTTTTTTAATTGAAATTTTTTTATTCGCGTAATAGAAATTTATAAATTCATGTAAATTTTATTCACTACATTTTGCTATATTTTGTATCTTTAAAGTGTAATTTGTATTGTACAATCTGACATGTGCATGCCATAAGTATTATGTGTGTATATATATATATATATATACATATTTTCGCTAAAATAAACATAAATAAAGCTACAATTACTATTGCAATTGCACTTTTTCATTCGTGGATTACTAAACCATATCATTCGATTATTAAGTCGCAATTTAAATATTTCTATATGAGAATTCTCTTCAAAGTTAATTGCACATGTAACATTGTGTAAAGCAAAACTTAAAAAAATACTTGATATCAACATAAACTTTTACAAGTTTCTTTCTATATTGAATTTGGTATATTGTAAGTTCTATACTCCGTCAAGTGCATACAAACACACATTGTGCACTAATATTTAATATATTTTCCTAAATTGACAAATGATTTGTTAAAATTAGTTAGCGTATAAATTGTATAATAATACAAAAATAACTATATCTAACTATTCTAACGAGGTTTATCATTTCATTCTGTATCCATAAAATACCTTATATACGACAATACAAACCAGTCGTAAACATTGTCGCAATATGCCACCACTCGACATGTTTTTCTCAGCTTCCAATTCTCCAAAATTTAACGAACTGGCGAATATAAGTACGTCGGCCATGTTGACTAGTCTTTGCAAAAAAGAAACTGCCACTTCGATTGGCATCCCCTGAGTTGGCTCAATTACATCCAGTTCATTCTAAAATGCAATAAAACATTGATTAAAGATTAAGAAAAAATATCATATTTTCTTTTTTAATCAAGTATACTAGAATTACAGAATAGTTTACGTACATTTGGCGAAGTGGCTGATGCTAATAAGGGTAGCAAACCGCCGCAAGCTATTATAAGGTTGTCGGCTAACTGCGAAATTAGATGAACAGTATTCACCACGAAAATCGCGTTCTCACTGCTGTTTACAAAATCCAATACTGACTTCGTTGAGTGACTGTAATACAAAACTTATCGTAGAATATTTCGACACAATTGATATATCGTTATATACATGTATGCAGCATTGTATATCCTACCTTCTCCATACTTGAATGTCTGTTTCCAAAGAGAATAGCACGTCCGACAGTAGTCGTTGGTGTATGTATGACCATTTAAATTCCGGTATTCTGAAGGGAGGTCGTGTCGGGCCTGGACTAAACATTGGCCGTGTTGAGGGATTTCCTTGCTTTGATCTTTTGGCTTCTGCGAGAAAAAGAATATGTAAAAATATAGACACACTTTTATTAACAGCGCACGGATTAATTTTTTAACTCACCGAAATGATTAGGATCCACCTGCGTGGACGTAGAGGCACTCCTTGGTCGTTTTTGGGGTGACGATGTCTTTCGTAAGGGTACAGGCAAGGAGGGTGGCTCGTGACCGTTATCGTCCGCGATCGTTTCCGAAGTGACGATCGGCAGGCTGGATCTGCGGTGGGTATCTACGTGATCTGGAGTTAAGTCATTCAATAACGCATTGTCCCTGGCAACCACATTAGAACTAACGATTTGAGGCACACCGTCGGATAAACTTTTAGTTGCATCACAGACCGTAGATATTGTTGGGATTTGCTGCTTAGGATTTGGCACTTGCGTCATATTATCTACAGAACTTTGAACGTCGCTATTACTACAAACACTATCTGTAACTTCTACCTCGTCAGTCGTCACCGGAACGTCTGACTTATTATCACTTACGCTAGTAGAAATAGTGGACGGCTCCCTTGAGTGTTTCTCGTTTACCTTCGCGTCTTCGTTATCATTAATAACAGCACTTTTGTCCTCCGTTAAAGAATCCACAGCGCATTCATCACTACTTAACGCACTATTCACTATTACGGGCTCCACCTTCTCGCTTCCTAGATCTATCGCCTTCTCCGCGCAAGCCTCACCGCTTTCTACTATGCTAGTTGAGCAATTAGGATTTTTTACAGTTTCCCCTGCGTCGTTCTCACCAGTCTCAGTGTCCCTGTCTTCGGAAATGTCCTTCTTCTCGACAATCTCATCGTCGTTTTTCTCACCTTCGGACATTCTGCTTTTTATCTCGCTCGAGATTTCTTGATTCTCAGTTGGCGTCAAGTACGCCTCTGATGTATCGCTATCAATTATCTCGCGGTCGTTCTCCAATTGGAGTTTCTCGATAACTTTAACCGTTAGCGGTTCTCGTGTTTCGTCAGAAGGGACAATTGGCACGATATCTTCTTCAGTGTCGACTTTTAAAGCAACAGAGTCGGCCGCATTTTCAATTACTGTTGCAATTTTGTCAGAATCTTCAGTATTGGTAGGCGTATTACTATCGTCGGTCCTAACATTATTCTCCTCGACAGACTTGGCAATTTCCTCCTTCACTTCCTTGTCCTCAACCGGTGGATTATCAACTTTGTCCACTGTTGCGGAAACCGTGTCGGGAATATTTGTATCTGTCACAGTTTCCTTCGAGTTTTTCAATTCGACAGCTGTCACTTCCGTGGTTTCCTTAATCTGTTCGGTTGAAGAGGATTCGGTAACAGCAACAGATTGTTTCTCAAGAATTGTGTCTTGTTCCTTTTTCAAAGTGTCTTGAACTATCATCGAGTCGGGACTGGAACTCTCGATTTTGTGCACCTCGCTGTAGAAGTCGCTGGAGCTCTCAATCGATATCACTTCGCTGGTTTCTTGTGTAGTTGGCAACGAGATGGCTTCGCTGTTTGCTTCCTCAAGGATCGTCGGTGTCTCCGTGTGAGTCTCACGCGCGGTAGTTGGTGTTTCTGGTTTATCGCTCAATCGCGAGTCCAATGACACCACCTCACACGATTGCAGTGTGTCCAAGGTTTCACTGCGCGATTTCACGATAGCCGGACTACCGTCGCTTTCGGTATTATCTATTGAATTAAGATCGCAGCTGCAGGATTCTTCCAATCGATCATTTGCCTCGGATGAATCAAATTCCTGCATTACAATACAAGATATTATTGAGAACAATAAATAAATGATTAAATTTGTTGAATGCATCATCTTAAATTGGCAAAAGATATTGAATACACACAGTCATATACAATATAAAGAAAATTATAAAGGGCATAAAATGAAGGAAATATAATTGGGCACAAAATGTCATACTATTTAATTATCCAATTTTTAAACTTTAATTAATTTTGTAATAGTATTTTATTAAATATAAATATATAATATAAATATAAATATAAATATAAACAAAATTGTGTATGACATTATATATGCCTCTGTGTAAACATTAAATTTTATTAATTTTTAAATTACTTTATAATTTCTTTCCATATGTTGTATCTCGTGATTTTGATTTCCCCACACTGCTGGTCTATTGTATCCGTTGCTACCGGAATGCTGTTGATCCCATCCGGAAATTGTGCTGATCGGTCTCTGCTGTCTTAGCTCAGGATCCGTAATGTTATCGGATCTCTGTCGCTCGTAATGCTCATACATTTGGGCAAACTGAAGCTTGAATTCCTCATACGATACCTGTATATACCAAAAGTATTAGAATCCTTTCCTAAACAATACCTCGCGAACTCACCTTAGAGTGTACGATAGCCAACGTATCAACCCAAACACGCCAGCCACCGTATTCATGCTTGATAGCGTGATGAAGAAGCATGCGAAATAAGGAATACACCATATCTGATATCTTCTGTTCCTCAGTGTTTTTGGGATGGATGTAAGCCATAGCAATAAGCCACTCCTGCCATACAGACATTTGCAAAACTGTTCGCCGATTCTCCCGATTGTTATTACAGAGCAACGTCATGTCTGACAGAAATAGTTTCTTTACTTCTAGCAGTTGTTCCGTTTGCTTTGATTGTCGAATTAATGTCGCCACTACCTTTAGGATCACTGAAAAAGATATTAGCAGATTAATATACAAGAAATATAATTTGGTTTATTTATCTGCTACAGATTTTCAGCTTACTCGGATTTTCTAAACGGTAGTGAGATTCAGGTTCAGGATGTCTGGCATATAATATTTGTTGACTGATGTGCTCAGTCATAATCTAGAATTAAAAATTTTAAATAAAAATTTAATTTATTTAATAAACAAATATTATTTTAAAGATAAAATATACGTACCTCGTATAAAACATTGTATGTCGGCAATGAGAGTGTTTCCTCGTTCAATAAGAGCCTTTCAGCCAATAACGTGTACAGATTATGCGGGCTCATGACATCGTATTTTCGTCTGTGTGTATTAAATAATATTATTATATTAGTATTTTTTCTAAAAATTTTAATTTTTTAATATTTTAATATATAAATTATCTGTATGAAGAATTACTTATGTGTACTGCGGCTGAGGAAGAATCCTAGTAGTTTTAACGCTTGTAAACGTATCAACTGGCTTTCAGCTGCCAAAAGCTTGAAAATCGTTCGTACTCCTTGTTTCGCATCGAATGCGGGTACCATCGATGACGGATGTTCCGACATCAAAGATATCAGCATTTGTAAAACATCATGTAAATTTTCATCCTAAAAATAGTTTGAAAATTAAAAAAATTATTTTTAATAAATAATTACTTTACATGATTACGTTATTATTTAAGATTACCTCGTGCATTGTCGTCAAATAATTAAGTATGCTCTGTAATTCGTCGTCTTTTACACCATTACCAATCATTATCAATTGTTTTAAAAATAATAAAATATATGAACGAATTGTAAGAATGTCTTTCTGTTGCGGTCGCGGACCATCTATCACAAAAATAAATTAACATGGAAGATCTTACATTTTAAAAGTTCAGGATGAATTTGCATTAACTGATTAAGTATGATAACATACCGAGTCCTTTCGGTGTTATTCCACTTTTGGCGCGAGGATTAGCTACCCAATAATAGTATTTGAGTGTGTGCACGGTTTGCAAAACCGTCGATACGCGTCTCACATTGGAATAAATTTGCGTGTCGCTAAGAAATTCTGTAGCCAGGTACGAGTAAAGCCGTGTTTGTACTGGCGCTGGTGTATATATCCATAGAGCGGGATTAAAAAGAACGTGATCCAGTAGCTGCCATGTTAGGAATGAAAAATAAAACAACTACATCACCATGGATCTGCCTGTTCTTCGGACACACCAATCTAGCCGACTTTTATGTTTTTCTGAGCCATATATATATATATATAT